CTCTGATCGCAAGAGCAGTGATCAAAACGAATCGAATGTAAACTCGTTAAAATTTCCTGTAGGCTATCTTGCGGGAACGTCGTTAGGTAGGCGGACACGTTTTGTGCTCCCTTTTGGCGACTGCAATTCATTCGCTAATTACTGCGCAGCCGGCTGCCGGCGATTTGATTAACGAAAAATCGCAAGCCGTCAGCGACAAATGTTTCCCATAACGTTCACTCTGCCGTATCGCTCCGCTCTCGCCTCTCGTCTCACCGCTCGAATAAACTCGCGAGTTCAATTAAACGCTGCGCAACGCCCACGCGCGCGACCCGAATCCTGCTTCTTAATTGGCAAATGATTTTTTTGTTCGCCGCGGAGAGAAATCCTGGACCTCGCGCGTAATTCGCCGCACCTTCGCCCGTGGATTTTCCATCTCTGTCGGGCCCGGTTCGAGAAAATTGGAAAAGTTTGACAGGGTTAATGAAGTTGATCCAAGTGAGACCGATATCGATTGCGTCGAATGAAAGTGCCACTTGGGCGAATTAACAACCACGATTGGAACAGTTCTGCTAGATCGAGCAACGACAAACTATGAATGTGGATCGTTTAAAATTTTTTTATCAAGGATCAAACACAAAGAGCAAAGGACAATTTGATTTCTGATATTGCTTTTAATTTTGTGTTATTGGACTTTTAAGAAAGACACAATCAAACCTTTGTTGGTTTAATATTTAAGAAGACGTTGCAATTTGTGTGCAATTTATGAGAAATATTCTTCTATTAGTATGTTCTGTTATTTTCTATTATTAATAGAAAGACGATTGCTACATTGACTTATAGTATTTTAAGAATACTACAAACATATTTGGAACACTTCTTATATTTATAATTGCTACATGCAGGGTGGAAGGAAAAATTTGTCCGTGATTATTATAGAATTCTATGTCTTCGATTTGATGGAAATAATTCGAATTTCAAGGTTAAATTTCTTTTTCCTACATTGTATTCTACTCATTACGAAAGTAATACTTTTCCAAGGAACCATAATAGGTTGCAACCTATTACTTTTCTTGAGAGTATTTCTTAATCATTTACGAAATTTTAACATTGCGAACGCGTGCGTCCTAACAGCGACTTTATAATTCAGGACGCGTGGATTTTTATTTTACATAACTTTCGTATTAGGTTTCACTAAAATTTGATTTATCATAGTTGTAACATCAGTGTGAATCTGATGAATAATCAAATGATAAAACTACTTGTTAACATTATTCGAAATACAAACATTACGTAATATAAACATCCACGCCAGAACCATAAGGTCGCTGTTAGCACGCACACGTCCGCAGTGTTAAATGATTAAGAAACATTTTTCAAGGGAACTAATAGTGTGCGACTTATGATTCCTTGGAAAAGTTTTACCTTCGTGATAACAAAGTTAAAGTCAATTTTGCAACAATTTCTTTACACATATATCCATCAAATCGAAAATGAAGAATTCAGCTATGATAGCCACGGGAAAACGTTTCTTTCCACTCTGTACAAAATATCTCACACACAGAACCAAACTTTCGCCTGATAGTGTATTAATCAAACGAGTATTAATACACGTAATAAACCGATCAATTAATTAAAACGAAGAAACATATGATAACAAATTTAAGGAACAGAGTTTTTGACTGCTGAACTTTTAGACAATAACAACGCCTTTCATTGACGCCTATACTAACATATCCATCACTTTCAGATGTTATTTCTCTGGTCGAGAGAGCCAGCCCCGGCACCGAGAGCCGGCCCCTGGTTCGCGTGGTTCGCCACAGCGTTGGTACTCTGGCGTTGCCGAAGAAGCGTCGTCAAGGCGATTCTGGCTGCGTCGCCGTTAAGGTTGCTGAAGAGGCGCAATCTTCTGCCCCAGACTTCCTCGAAGGCCTCGTCCACGGCGACGCTGACGAAACAACGGCTGAGACCGGAAAATTCGATGCTGCAGCGGAAACACAGGCACACGGGCATCAGAACGAAAGTGAAACGACTGTGCACCGGCGACGGGCCGCACGTGACCAGCTCGACATTCACGATCCAGAGCCAACAAATTCATTATAAAGTGACGAGAAGCGGCAAAATATACGGGAAATATCCGAACAAAGTCGCCACGCCGATGACCAACGGCCAGGGAAACCATTGAAGCGTCGACCATCCCGTTTTCCCTCCGATTGTTCAACAACCGACGGCTCTCGCTCTTTGTCCTGTTCCCGCCATTAATCGCGACTCTGGTTTCAACTCGGAGAACGAACACGTGTGCATGTACCACTGTGCGTATCTCGAATTTGTTGTTATAAAGTCAAACATTTTTTTTTGTCAAACGTTTGCGTCTTTTATTTGTCATTTCTACGA